CAAATGTGACCTCTGTTTTTAACCCATCGTTACACTGGTGACACAGCACAAATCTCTGTGATCTCTGTTTTTAACCCGTCACCAAAGTGAAGCTTTAAGGGTGCTCAGTGGTACCCTGGCAGCTGATGGACTCGAACCTGAAACCTTACGGACCCAAGCCCGCTTCCTTAACCACTAAGCCACCACTGCCCCATGTGGGTGGAGTTATAGTAATCGTGTCCTTAAAAGACAAAATTAAGGAGCACAACTGAGACAGTGAAATAACAGGGCTCTGTCTCACACCATTATTGGTTAGAAAACCAAATCTGAGCAGAAAGCAAAACCAATCTTTTCGAAGTCTTTGTCTCCATTTGGACGTCCGACTCCTGTCATTTTGTCGTGGCATCTCTTCCATATTTAAGGTCATATTTGTTAAGCCCCTGAGTGATGTCACCAGGCAAAGTGACAGTTTGTCAGTAAGCGGGTCACGGTGCAGTCAGTGTGTAGGTGCCCCTCTGTGCCTGTGTACTGGCTATAATTAGGTGCTCATTACCATATCAGTCAATTACCAACAGTCACTCTGGCTACTTTCTCTCAGGAATCTCTCCTTCTGGACACCAGCTCTGAAGAAGGACGAATACTTCCTGGCTGCAGAAGTAATTATTTTTCCCGTCTTTTTTTCCCTCCTGCCCCTAATTATGATTGCTACTGGTAAAACAATGGCTTAGGCTTTTTTTTTTTTTTTTGTTGTGTTGTGTTGTGTTGTGTTGCTGCGGGCACCATCTGTGGCGGTGAGGGGGAGGCACAACAATACCATATGGTCAGGGCATCAGCAGCAGGCTATATCAGCTCATCAAGTCCTGTCATTGTCATCAGCTACACCCAGGTCTCCGTTCATCTCCCTCTCCTTTATGTAGTGTATATTTATATATATATGTATATATGAACGTACACAGCAAAGCACAACTCCGTATTTATGTATGAGTCAAAGATGATGTCAGACGAGCAGGTGTCTTGTCGAGGACTCAAAGACTTCCTTATTCCCTCCTCGTCTATCGGCTGATCCAGAAACTGCAGCACCTGCACCGAGCGTCACAGCAAAACTTGAGAACTTGACACAGGCTTTAAGCGAAATGAAGTAGATAGTTCGGCACGTCGGCGTCTCTCCCTACCCAGCCGCTGCTGATTGATGTTAGCTTAAGGCTTTTTTAGACATAACCATCTGCTGTCTCCCACCTCCTAATCTCCAACGTGGTGCACGCAAGCGGACACACACACGCACGCACGCACACACACGTATGCTCAGTCATCACTGGTGTCGCAACATTTTTATCTTTTATTTCCTAACTTGGACAGTAAACTGTGACGTTCAATAACAACTTCATGAACCTGTCCCTTTATTTTCCTTGTTTTGTTTTTTTTTTGGGGGGGACCAACGTTATTTAAATAATCCAAACACACCCCCAGACTCCCCATCCTTTCAAAGATACATCTTAAAAAGATAATCAGATAAAGACTGCTATACATTAAACAACGGGACAAGGTGTGAGGAGATGAAAGGCTGTGGATACAACGCGGCGAAATGAGCATGTAATTTAAAAAAAAAGAAGATACAGGGACGTAGGCTCCAGGAGAACGGCGTTATTTGTGAAAGATCCCAAAGTGATAGGGCTGGATAGAGAGAGAGAGAAAGACAGTGGGGAGGAGAGTTAAGGAAAGGACAAAGCTGAAGGCACGTGTGAGCCCAGATAACCGGTTATCCTCACATCATCTCAGTTTGCAGTTTATCTTTCTCTGCTTCCCGCTGTATCTTCCCCCTATCTCCGAGGCTCACCGAATAATGGGAACCTTGAAACAAAGGCAAATGTGAGTGGTTTATAATTGATCTGCGCGATTCTCAATGAACACACTGACAACACACTTTGTGAATTTGTTGAAATTCTCTCTCATTTTGTTTTTTTTCCCTTTGGTTTATCCGATTATCTGGTTAGACTTGGGTGCGTGTTTAAATTTATCCAGTCTACTTGAATATTCTGTACAGAATCGAACGCCCGTAATGGACTAAACACTGAACCTTTGCTGTCCTATTGTACTTTCAATCCATATTTAGAACGAGCCAATCAGAATAGACCAGACAGAGACCAAGCCGATAATACAGGCCCTCAATTTGGGCCCAAGTCATTGCAGAGTTTGATCTTATTTAGGTTTTTAATATTGTACAGTACAGTTAGAAACATCAGGGAAAGGTCAAGAGACCACTGCATGTTTGACCGGTTCAGTTCAGTAAATGCCCAGCCTTATATAAAGCACAGGGATTGTGATATTGTTTATAGGATCAGGTAGACATAAGTCTGGGGAATTCCCCTTTGCATCCTCTGTTTTGCCCCAGGCGTTGAAGAACACCACCCTTCCCCTTCTTTTTCTTTTTGACCCCAGCACTTCAACACAGACCTCGCGTCGTCTCCGCGTCTCACGCTCCTATCCGTCCTCTGTTTCCTGTTCTCCCAGGCCTTTCACTTCTATCCCCGCCCTCCTGCATCAGCGCTGCTTGTTGTGATTGTTATAGTGGACCAATCATCCTCGAGTGGTGTTTGCCCTCTGGTCATTTAGCCCCAATCCACAGCAGAGATGATTTCGGACTGACAGTTGCCCCTGGCAAGGCAAAAAAAAAAGAGAGACCGGGGGACAAAGTGGGTGATGGGATAAGAGGGAGGAGGTAGTGGGGGGAGGGGAGGAGAAGGTGGTGGTGAGGAAGCATGGATGCTTCAGACTGTTTGGGTCCAGAAGGACAGCTGGAGTCCTTCTCATCCCTTTGTGGAGGTCAGTCCTGTTACCAGAGCCAAAGGGACAAATCACTGTCCTGGAACATAATCCACATCGATGATGTGGATTATGTTGATGGAGATGGAAAAAAAACAAAAAACGAACCGGACGTCCATGACTTTAATCTGGATTCATTACTACTGTGAAGCCAAAAGTTACAATTATCACATTGGACAAGTGCTGTATTGTTTTATACGTTTGTGTCTCTTGTGATATTTCAAGGTAAAATATTGTGATGAACACACACACACACACACAAAAAAACATTTCGTAAATGTAGACCGCCTCAAATCAATGGCACCCATGGTGACGACACAGATCTTGAGGTTATGTAAAAAATAATCATAGGATATATTTGCTAAATTTCTCTAAGAAATTTCTCTCCTGAGTGGAGAAGGTAGGATCAGGTCCTCGATCATCGGCAAAACCTCAGTTTCTAAATCAACGGGACTTTTCGAAGAGCGCGGCGCAAACTTTTGCATCTTTGATTGTCTTACACTTATTTCCCTTTTATCAAATTTCCTGAAAGGTGTAATTATGTCAGCCCCCTTGAAAATATTCCCGTTGTGTCGCTCGTCTTCGCGTGGCGCTCAGCACATATAATTTAATTTGAATTCATTACTCCCCCTCCTCTCAGTTAATATATTCATGACTTCCAATTCCCTCGGAGCTGTCCCACCACCTGGAATGTCCTCCCTCATCTGTGTCACTCCTCCCCTCTCCTCCCCGCCTGTGCCTCCGTCTCCTCACCCCTCCTGGCCCTGTGGGCTCCCAGGGGCCCTATGAAGGGGTGTTAGGGCCAGGGTCACCGAGGCTGGGGGACAGGGGGGGGGTGGCCGTCATTAGCGGCGAGTGGAATGTGTTAGCGTGGATCAGCTGGGACCAGGCGTCTCCATCGCAGCCTTTCTCCTGGTGCTGCTGGTGCTGTGTTTGTCTGCCGCACCGTGGCGGCGGCGGCGCATGGGAGTCGGTGACACCTGCAAATAACGGTGACGAAACGGCAGAGCCGGGTTTCACACTGCTGATGTCAATGTTACTCTGCAGCATCTTGTGTTTGTCAAGAGTTTAGGGTGAGAATAGCAGAGAACACGTTGGTTAGCGTTTTCTATTTTGGGACACAGCTCTGACAGATATGGAGGATTGTTGTATTTGTCTGTTTGTATTTGTGCCCTTCAAATGTAAATAAATGAATATTGAAAATTAAAAAACCAACACAGTGTTATAAGATATTGTCTTCGGTCACGTCAGACTGTTTATAGTCTGTCCATCCATCCGTCCGTCCATCCGTCCTTCCATCCGTCCATCCATTTATCTAAGGTCACGTCAGACTGTTTATAGTGAACAAAAGCAAAAAAAAAAAATGCTTGTATTGCTTGCCAGAAACATAAAGTGCATTCTATTACCTATCTATCTATCTATCTATCCGTCTGTCCGTCTGTCCGTCCATCCGTCAGTCCGTCCGTCAGTCCATCTATCTATCTATCTATCCACATATCCATCCGTCCATCCATTCATCCATCCGTTCATCCATCATCCATCCAACTGTTCATCCATCCATCCATCTATCTATCTATCTATCTATCCGTCTGTCCGTCTGTCCGTCCATCCGTCAGTCCGTCCGTTAGTCCATCTATCTATCTATCTATGTATCCATCCATCCATCCATCCACCATCCATCCATCCATCTGTCCATCCATCCGTTCATCCATCTATCCATCCATCCATACATCAACCATCCATCTGTCCATCCATCCATTCATCCATCTATCCACACAAAAGCAAAAATTGCTTGTATTGCTTGTCAGAAACATAAAGTGCATTCCATTACCACATTTTAACTGGAGGCTGGGGGATCATTTACCAGGAGTGGCAACAGGGAACTTCCTAAAGTCGTAAAGTAGATCTTAGCTTGATGCACATGAAGCTGACGACCAGTATCTATGTCTGTATCTATGAGGAAAACTGTGGGTGACATTTGAGTTGTATCCTGTTTTAAGTCTAGTTCTGTCATTTCTCTGCCTCCTTAAGAAATGGACATTTTTTATTTTATGTTATTGTCACATGTGAAGCACAGACCTGGTTAATATTCAAACAAAACAGTGATTAATAGATCTGATACTGCACCTGAAGAACATCGCTGATTTACATGTATGCATTTAGCAGACCAAAGTGGAGGAAAATTAACATTACCAAGCATGTGGTTCCTCTGGGAATCGAACCCAGGACTTGCTTCAGAGGCAGGCGTGCTGACCGCTACACTATGGAACCGGCTAATGTTTAGTTAACGCGATGATGTTGGAGATATCGACGTGATGTTTATGGCACACAGCCGTACTCTTACGCAAACAAAACCTCTTCAAGGTGTTGGACTGAGTTCGTACTCATCCCTCCGATACATTATTTATCTGACTCTTAAAAGGAAAAGAAATGGAGAAAAAAAAGAAATAAAAACGCTAACGTAACGGACGTGTTCTGCAGCGGAGCTACGGTAGAAACGTTGGAGCTCCTTCACCATTAAGCGCCAGCTCCCCTCACTGATCTTCCCTCCATCTTTCATGTTGCACCTTTGTACCAGCCTCTCCACCAACGCTGTCCCGTCTGGGTCGTAAATATTTCATCGTGAGGAGCAGCTCAAAGTTTGATCTCAGCGGGGGGGGCCAGTGTAGAGGTTCAAAGGAGACCCTGGGCCGTCTGACAGGCTGCCAGAGCACAGAGGAGGAGAAGGAGGATCAGGAGGAGAGACAGGAGGAGAGAGGAACAGAGGAGAAAGTGAGAGCGCATGAGGAGGAGGAGGGAGCGAGTAGGGGCGCTGCTTCACTTCAGCACCACCACTTTACTGGACAGCTCCTCTGTTGAACTCTGAAGGTTTAATTGTTTTTTCTACAATTTAACCTTTTGTTATCATAGATATTTTACACAGCCGGAATTTGAACTTTATGCAGACAGATTTTTTAAATTTTTAAAAATTGAATTAATGAAAAAAGGTAATTAAGCAAATAATTAAACAAATAAAGATTTTTTTTTTTTTTTTTTTGGGGGGGGGGGGGAAGGTAAAA